TCCCCTCCCCTCCCCTCCCCACCCAAACCCCACCCCTCCCAACCTTCCCTCCCCAGACTTCCCAGAACCAATACAGGGTATAAATGTTTAACAAAAATAATCTAAAGTAAACTTAAAAGTAAAAAAATTAATATCCTCTATCATTTGAGATGTATGAATCTTAACCATAATAAGGGTACTTACTCATTCATGTTGAGGGTCAAGGAGATATCCTCATCCTTTGAGAACAATAGAATAAGGAAGTGATAGCGGGTTTGCCCTTGCTTTATAGGAGGGTCTAAGCTGATCTGGAACAAACAGAGACAATGGTAACTATACATACATACATACATACTGAATCCCAGATCAAAAAAATCCATTTAGCTATGGGCCAAGTGCATTAAACGTGCAGCAAGGATAGTTCCCTAAGGAGGTCGGTCTTATCTCCCATCACGATAAAAAGAGGATATGGAAACTGAGGAAAAAGCTGCCTCTTTCCACTCCTTCTATTGCCCAAAAATACCGAAGAGGTGCAAGTCCCACCATCCAAATGTTATTCTAAAAATAAGTAAGTTCCTTTTATTTCTATAATAACCAAGAAGATGGACATCCACTTGGAATACCGTATTTTTCGTATTATAAGACACACTTCTCCCCCTCCTAAAAGTGCATGAAAATTGCAGTGCATCTTATACAGCAAATGTTGCTGAAGCCCTGGTCACCCGCTGGCCCCCACCCTTCGGACGTTTTTGGCCTCCACACGTCACATTTTCGTCTCCGCACACTCCATTTTAGATCTGTTCTAGGCTGCGGGGATTGCCACAGCACATTGCCGATCACTGCCTCTCCGGGTTGCATTTTCAGCCTCTGCACGGCCCATTTTTAGCCTCTGCATGTTGCGTTTTCAGCTGGTTCCAGGTGGCAGGGATCAGCGGCTGTAGAGGCGATCCTCGCCGCCTGGAACCAGCCCAAAACGAGAGACACAGAGGCCAAAAATGCAACACACGGAGGTCAAAAATGTGACGCACAGAGTCAGCAATTGGCAGCGATGTGCTGCGATCCCCGCAGCCTGGAACAGGTCTAAAATGGAGCATGCAGAGACCTAAAATATGACGCATATAGGCAGCAATGGGCTGTGGCGATCCCTGCATCTGGAACAGCTGATTGGGGGTATTCCAGGAGGGCGATCCACCTGCCAAGCAGCTGCTCATGGCGAATCAGGCTGCGTGCTGAAGCTGACCAGGCTGTTTGCTGCAAGGACACTAGCCGATGGATGGTGGTAGGCAAAAGCAGAATTTTATTTTCTTGTTTTCCTCCCCAAAAGCTAATGTGCATCTTACATTCCAGAGAGTCTTATACTCTGAAAAATACGGTAATCAGAAACTGTGAAATCTAGGAGAAAGGCTATTTCTGGAGTCTTCCTTTCACCAGAAAGGGATACAAGGGATGAATAAATTTACTTTTGGGTTGAAATTAAATACACAGAATTTAAACAGCTGGTTTTGGTCACAAAACACCAAGGGTTTTTGAATGCAACCTATTCTGAGAAGCAAACAGCAATTACTTCTCGTAAGAAGTATTTTGACAATGAGTCCAAAATTCCTCACCACAAAAAACATCTGGCGCTGATCTTTATGGGGAAGCAAGAAAAGTCGCAGAACAGTAGTATATGGGATTTTGTAATCAAATGTTTTGCCATGGAGGTGCAGGAAGGTAGGATAGATACGGATATCATAGCGTCCACGAGGAGTCAAGCACTGCAGTTCTCGGAAGATACAGATAGCATCTCCAGTAGCCTGGATGACATCTGCCTTTGATAGCACATTCTGGGCAAATGCCTGCAACAGCAAGGAGAGTTTCATGAACAAGTGTTTCTTCCTCCACTCTGCCATCTCAACCTCAAGTTCAACCTACCTCCACAGGATCCACACCATCCTCCTGAGTGGGTGGCACATAGAAGCGGACTTCCATTAGGGACACCTCAGCATCGTCATTCTGATGAAACTCCAGAGTCACCTCATTCTTGCCGGTAGTGCACTGGGACACGTTACTGAGTGGGATTTCAAAAACTGGTTGCTCCCCAATATCAAAAGAGAGAAGTTGCCCTTGCCAAAAAAAAAAAATTATTTAGTCCCACCGAAGTACTTTACATTCTTTCTCAGATCCTACTAAGCTATAATGTGCTAACTGCAAAATGCTTGGTGATCCGCATACTAAGGTCTATATAGAAGGGGTGGGCAGCCATTTGACTATTGGGAACCACATTTAACATGGAACAGCAAGGCTACACCAAGGAGGAAAATGATATAAAGTGTAAAGGAAAGTGATGGCAAACGTTTTTCTGCTCAGGTGCCAAAAGGGCATGTGCGCGGGCAATAGCGTGCGTGCGTGTGCCCACACCCATAATGCAATGCCCTCCACCCTGTGCATGCGCACACAATCCCCCTGCGCAGGCCTCACTGAAACCTCCGGACTTCTGGTAGGCTCATTGGGCTATTTTTCACCCTCCCAAGGCTTTAGGAAAGCCTCTGGAGTCTGTGGATGGCAAAAAACAGGCCCAACGAGTCTACCGCAAGTTCAGTTTGTGAACTTCTGGTAGGCCTGGGTTTTTTTGCCATCCACAGGCTCCGGAGGCTTTCCTGAAGCCTGGGGAGGGCGAAAATGCTCTCCCCCGCCCTCCAGAAGGCTGAAAATCAGCTGGCCAGCATGCCCATGCGTGCACTGGAGCTGACATAGGGCAACGCTTCGCATGCCCTCAGATATGGCTCCATGTGCCACCTGTGGCACGCATGCCATAGGTTCGCCATCACGGGTATAGGACATTATCTGGACTGAAATACTCAGTGTTCTCCTACAGTTTTGTTGGAGGAAGAAAGGGGGAATGGTAATTTTGCTTTTAAAAGCCTATTTTACAGCATAATTTGCCTCAAAAACAATGTCTCCAGTAGTTAGCATCAAGGATCATAAGTTTAGGACAGCTGTTGCAAAAAAAGACTGAAAATAAATTGTCCTGGTCTACAAGTTTTAGCAAAATGCAGTATGAAAACCTCGCCAATTGTTGCTTGTTTAATAAGTGATGATTACAATAGATGTTACTTAGTCCTATATGTAAGTTCAACTACCGTTCTACCTCACAGCCAACAACCAATCCCTCCCCAGATAACTATAACAAATGCATCTATCATTTCCAATTAGCTATGTCTTCTTAAATTGTTTCCAACTACCAATTTCCATGGAGGAATAGTGTAAAACTCACCTCCAAACTTGACTGTCCCCCAATTCCAGCCTTTTACACATAGATCTTTCTCAGCAAGATCTAAATGAAAGTGTGTTTTGAAGAAATCTGAAAGTTTGTCGAACTCCTAAGAATAAAAACAGTCAATGTACACACTAGCAAGCTAAATACATGTACAACAGTAATCTGAAGCTAATTCCTTTGTTTACACTACAGAAATTTACATTATACCCCAGATGTAAAATCATACTTAACAAGCCCTAAACCATAACATTAAGAAACATTATGTGGGTGTTGAGCTATTAAAAAAAAGAATTAAAAAAATAGTGTATTTTATTACTAACAGTTCCTACAACAAATGCAAACATATTGTTAAAAACAGAACAAAAATAAAATTACCCTTGCTTTGATTTATATTGGGCTATTGGCAATTTGCATGGCTATAACTATGAAATTTCCCTGGCTTGATATAAAAGTGGTTTGCCATTCTTTCTGTCTGGGTTTTTTTTTTTAAAAAGTCTCTTCATTGAATGAATCCAAAAGACAAATAAATAAATAGCTTTAGAATGTCTAGGTTGTCTTTCCACATCCAATTACAAAATGGGACCAACTCTATTTAGCTAGTCAAGATTAGATAGGTGCTGTCACTAGCTGATAAAAGCATCTCCAGTTACAGTTAAATGGGAAACAAGCATTGATGCTACAAGTGCCGTTTATATTACAAACAATATTATAAGATCCACGGTTGAAAAACACACTGATGTAATCAGATTAGATATCCAACTGCAAAATTTCTTGCTGCAGTAAACACTCCATTAGTTTTCAAAATAACGTATCTTCAGCTGCCTATCTGATTAAGGCTCTGCATTCTTCTCTAATGCATCATGTTCAAAAACGAACTTGCATCAAAAGAATCTTACCGTCTCTCTGAACCCATCGTACTTGTAGATATGGCCACTTTTAGTAAGCAGCTTGAGGCCGTGGCCCAATGCTACTCGCCTCCAGACACCCTCTGCCAAATCTGAGGCCTGGATGTTGTCAACTTTCCCAGTTTTGCTGTTCTTAAAAATCACACCCTGGCGGTTTAGCCGCAGACGGCCATCGTTCTAGTGCAGAACAGAAAATGTCAGTAAGAAAACAATAGTGAATAGCAGCTGAAAGTTAGGATGACATCTAACCTTTTGCACTATTTAAAGGAGGAACTGACTATTTTCTCATCTAAAACAAAAAACACTTATGCCCTAAAAAAACTTCATTCTTTTAAGAGCCTCTAAGATCCTCTTTAAAATTTAGAATTATTGGCAGCAAGCATACATCCATAAAGGTAAGCAAGTGAATGAATATGCACACATAATGCAAAAACCTAATTAATTCTCTGAAGAAGTTCATAATGGTGAGAAAGGTGAAAAGAGAGGGAAGAGGAAAAGCAACAACAACGTGGATGGATTCAATTACAATGGTGGTGTGCACCACTGAAAGACCTGAACTTAATGAATTCAATGCCGCATAGTTTATCAATCAATCAAGTTATAGAAATTTCTTCCAACATTGTGCCCAAATAATAAAGATGCACCAGACTACATTTTTATATACAAATATTCCTTAACTTACAACCATTCATTTAGTGATCAAATGACAACACTGAAAAAAGTGACATGACTATTTTTCACAAGACCGCTGCAACATTCCCCATGGTCACATGATCAAAATTCAGATACTTGGCAACTGGCTCATAGGGGTCATCTGATCACCTTCTGCAATCTTCTGATTAGCAAAATCAATGGGGAAGCCAGATTCACTTAACAACCATGCTACTAACTTAAAACTGCAGCGGTTCACTTAACAACCATAGCAAGAAAGGTCATAAAATGAGACAAAATTCATTTGCAACTATCTCACTTAGCAACAGACATCTACTATTTGATCAGGATGCTGCATCATTCACTTTAACAACCATGTTACTAACTTAAAACTGCGGTGATTCACTTAACAACTGTGGCAAGGAAGGACGTAAAATGGGACAAAATTCCCATTGTATGTGTGAAAAATGGTCATAAGTCACTTTTTTCAATGCTGTTGTAACTTCAAAAGGTCTCTAAATGAACCGTTGTTAGTCAAGGATTACCTGTACTATAACGCAAACCATTCAGGATTTTTTAGAAGTTTGATCTATTTATGTTTAAATTAAGCTAAGCTAAATTAAACTGGTTTTCCTGTGCTTTTTACAGTGACAGTATCCAGATATACCATTACTACCCAGCTAGACACTAAATGGCACTAGCTACATTAAATAATTAAAAAGACATTAAGATAAATGTGATTACCATCAGCAATTTCCAGATAAATTTTAGTAATTAAGCTCCTGTAGCATCATGGATTTCACAACACCTAAATCAGAATCCTTGAGAGTCAAGTTCTGTTCTCTTACATAAAGTGACATGTTATCTACAAACCTAATCTTTATCCTGACATATGTGTCTTGTTTAACCCAGTTTCCATGCCCCAACTCCAAATCATCAAGATCTGCCTATTCATAAATGTTTACCAAATCACTCACCATAGATCCCTTCACTTCTTGATATATTTCATTGAACTCCAATGTATCTGCCATGTTGACAGCTCCCTGCCCACTATGGCAGGGGCTGGTCTGAGATCCCTAAAGTATTCCCTTTGGAAGATGCTTTGCCAGGAATCCCACAGAACATCAAATGGAAGTCTTAGCGACTGGCATATTCTACCCTGAGAGAAGCAAAGGAAGTCCCAAGAAACCAAGAACACCGGATCTCTTCTTTTTCTTTCAGAAATCTGGAAAGTAGATAGAATACGCATAAGCATTTACTTCCAAAAGAAAAACAAGTTTCCCTCTACTGTTGCAAACCCTGTCAAACCAGCTCTTAATAACAAGGGAATACAAGGGTATATTAGGACAGGGACAGTAGACACGCTGGTGTGCTTATGCACGCCCCTTAAAGACCTCTTAGGAATGGGGTGAGATCAACAGTAGACAGTCTAAGATTAAAGTTTTGGGGCTTTGGGGAAGAAACCACAGTCAGGTAACGCATTCCAGGCATTGACCACTGTTGCTGAAGTTGTATTTTCTGCAATTGAATTTGGTACGGTTTACCTTAAATTTGAATCTATTGTGTGAGCTCCTGTATTATTATGGTTGAAGCTGAAGTAGTCATTGAAAGGTAGGACATTGTAGAAGGTAATTTTAAGTACTATGCTTAGCTCAGACTGAAGGCGGTGTACTTCTAAGTTTTCTAAGCCCAAAATTTCAAGTCTGGTGGCATAAGGTATTCTGTTGCGAGCAGAGGAGTGGAGGACTATTCTCGTGAAATATCTCTTGGCATCGCTGGATTGTATTTATGTCTGATATGCAATGCGGGTTCCAGACAGATGAGCTGTATTCGAGAATTGATCTAGCAAAAGTTTTGTATGCATCCCAGTGCAGTTTCACCACCACCACCACCACCCAAAAAACCTCAACGTGGGATCTTTACTAAGTTGTCCCAGTGGGAGCCCAAATTTACCGGCCTTCCAAGGCAATCCTTACCGCCCCTGGCCAGTTCAGAAGTGAAGTCAGGAAAACTTTATTTGGAGCTTCGTGCAGCCCTTTTGCCCCACTTGCCAATGGCAGTCGCCCCCCCTCCCCCCGCCCCATAACAGAGTGGACGGACGCCAGTTGGGAGAGGCGGATGTCAGAGATCGCTGCTCTAGACAGCCGGCGAGCGCAGATGCGGAGATAACAAAAGCCGCCTCCTCCACCACAGTACCGACCCTATCGGTAACCATCGGTTTTATCATGTCCACCCGCGTCACAGCCTCCGCGATTCCCGGCCCAAAGCCCCGCGTCCCTCACCTTCCTCTCGCCCAGTTTCCCGCCTGCGCAACACGAGACCCGAGTTACCCCTTCAGTTGCCACCGGAAACCGACCTCACTTCCGCCTTCCGAAGCTACAAGACCGACCGCCGCTCAGACGAAGCTTCGGCCGCGCGTGTCTTCCTGGAATGTTTAAACTTCCGATCGAAAAGGACGGGCCACGTTTCTCTATGAAGGCAGAACGACGCCACTCTAGCCCTTCACATCTCTATGGCCAAAGGCTCCGGAGCGCGGTCGGGTTTTGCTATAAAAGCGCCCAAAACGAGGGAGGGGAGTGGGCGCACATCAAACATTTGCTTTCCTACGATCTGAGGGGCTGGTGATGAGAAGCGTCGCGATTTTCTATAGGCACCGAGGAAAGGGTACCTTGCCTTTCTCCTCAGTTTATGGTAAGGACCGCAGCCTCCCGTCCTAGGCTGAAAAGTACCATTCTTAAATGAAAACATTTTCCAGCTTTCTCTGGCTTGGAAAGTTGGAATGGTGATTTGCTTAGAGGCTGTGGGCTACTGAAACCAAATTTTGCCTAAAGAAAGTTAACAGGCAAATAAGTAATATTGCAAAAGTGAATGTGCAAGCCATCAAGCCCTTTCAGGGCAAGCACACGATGTAGAAATGGAATAAGAAATAAACAAAAAGTTTAAGAAAATAAAGCAGAGAATAGGATAGAGTAGAATAGAGCTTTATTGTCATTTTAATCTGCATACATTAAAATGAAATTTTGTTGCATTCAGCCCTCAAAAGGATAACCATTATGCGCATACCCACCCCCACCCACCCATATATGGCACAGAGAAATATCACAGTCTAGTTGGAATGTATACCTATACATAGCGGCGGGGGGGGGGAATCTTGTGAGTTTACAAGACGGATGGCATTAGGAACAAAACAGTTACAGAATCTAGTGGTTCTGCTGTAGATACTTCGAAACCTCCCAGAGGAGAGCAACAGAAACAGACCCTGAAATGGGTATGTGGGGGTCTCTTAACAATGCTTCGAGCTCTAAGCACATAGCAGTATCCTGAATAATGAGAAAAGAGCTTCCTATAATCTCAGTTGTCCTTACCACTCTGTATGGACCTCCTATCAGAGGCTCTGCAACATCAAACCAAATACAGTTTGGTACAGTAACGATGATACAGTTTGTTAAAACGCGCTCAGTCATGCCTCTGTAAAATGTGGCCAGGACAGAAGGAGAAAGATGTGTTCTCCTCATCCAATGCAAAGATAACGTATGAAGAGACCAAGTCAGATTGTCATCTGCACCTACAAATACTTAATACTGTTGACCACCTCCACAGCTGCAGCCTTGATACAAAGTGGAGTATGATTACGCTGGCTCTTTCTAAAAACAACAGTGATCTTTGTTTTATTGTTCAAAACCATGTTTTTATTGCATCAGTCCACCAAAGCCTTCACCTCCTCCCTATAAGAATCTTCATTGTCATCCTGGATAAGACCCACCACTGCCATATCATCCTCATACTTCACAATATGATTCATAGCAGGCTTGGGACTGCAGTCATGGGTCATCAAGGTGAACAGTAGCGGACTCAAGACACAGCCCTCTGGGGAACTCTTACTCAGGGAGATGGAGTTGGAGGCTTCTTCCAACTCGCACAATCTGGAGCCTATCAATAAGGAAATGAAGTATCCAGTTACATAAAGAAGTATTAAAACAAATAGTTTGTTCATCAAATGCTGAGGAATGATTGTGTTAAAAGCCGAATTAAAATCAACAAACAGCATTCACACATGAGTAGAATAGAGGAAGATATAATTTGCATCAACATCTTTTGCTGTAGCTCTTCATTACAAATCAACATGCTGACATCACACCCATACATCTCTACTTGCTACAATGCTTGTTTTGTCTTTCAATGTCTTGTTTCTCATTTTCAGTATTTTACTAATTCCATCCATCTATAACTGTCTTGTCAATTTTCCACTTCTTCTTGCCCCCCTTCCCCTTACCTTTATATATTTTTCTGTCAGTTCTGATTTAGGCTCTCTATGGCTAAACTACTTTAAGATATTTCTTCCATACTTTCTCATTCAGTTCATATTCATTCATCACCTATTCCTTCATTCATTCTTGACCCACTCTTCTTCATAACTATCCCATTCTACTGCATTCAATTGTTCTTTTATTCCTGATGTGCCAGACTTTCATTTCTATAAACAACATGGGCAGAGACACATTTTTCCTTTTTTAAGAAAAAATTATTCTCAATAGACCATATACAATCCATTACTTTTTACCAAGATTTGCACATCTTAGAATCTTTACATTCAGTTTTCCATTTTTAGAAAACATTCAACCAGGGTACTCAAATTCAAGCATTTTGAAGTCCTTTTGCCATTTATGTAACACTTGCAATCAGTCACATGTTCCTGTTAAATACAAATAGTAAAAGTGAGATATGTATATATGCTAGTAATTGATCTGTCAATTTTCAGATTCAAACTCCTTGTTGCATAAGACAGTCTATTTAAGGTTGGCTAC